CACTTATATGGACCCACAGCCCCTTACACTATAGAGATTTTGAAAGCTTGGGCAAATTCTGGGGAATGGATCCCTTATGATTGGCACATGGTTGCACGGGCTTGCCTTAAGCCACAGGAGTTTTTTTTGCAATGGAAAATGTGGTTATCGGATGCCGCCTATATGAAAGCCCGGGTGAATCAGGCTAACCCAGCCATGCAAAATATGTCTTTTGAAATGCTCACTGGCTCTGGCCCCTTTTCAGATGTTTGAGAGCAGTTGGTCAACACTCCACCTGCAGCCACAGAGCAGGTATCTGAAATCGCCCTCGCAGCTTGGGGAAAGCTAACCCCTTCAGGGGAAGTGGGGCAAAGTTATATAAAAATTGTGCAAGGCCCTACAGAAGCATATACTGATTTTATTTCTCAGCTCGAAATGGCTATTGACCACCAAGTCAATAATAAACCTGCTAAAGAGCACTTGCTAAGACAGCTTGCTTTTGAAAATGCTAATGAGGACTGCCAAGCGGCCATCCGGCCACATAGAGAAACAGGAAACATTCTCGATTATCTTCGTCTATGTAGAAATATTGGCACTTTTACACATCAAGCCCGAATAGCCTCCTTTCAACTCATGGCCCCTTCCCATAGAAAAATTGCTGGCCTTAGAACAAATTGTTCAAGAGCAATTGCAGGCAGGACATACAGAGCCTTCACAATCTTCTTGGAACTCTCCTGTTTTTGTTATCAGAAAGAAATCAGGCAAATGGAGGCTCCTAATGGACCTTCGGAATGTGAATGCCATCATGGAGCCTCTGGGTGCCTTGCAGCCTGGGTTACCCACTCCTACAGCCGTTCCCAAACAATGGCCATTGATAATAGATCTTAAGGATTGTTTCTATACCATAGCCATTCACCCTGAGGATAAGGAGTTGCCTTTTCTGTTCCAAGCACTAACAACAAGGAACCAATGAGACGATATCATTGGACAGTTTTGCCACAGGGTATGACTAATTCTCCTACCATGTGTCAGTATTATGTTGGCCAGGTCCTCCGACCTGTTAGAAAGCATTATTCTTGGTCCTACATTATTCATTATATGGATGATATTTTGCTGGCGTCACAAACTGAAACCGAATTACAAAATGTGTATCAGGCCACTTCCCAACATTTGACTTCTGCTGGTCTCATAATAGCCCCAGAGAAGATCCAAACAACTCCTCCGGCTTCTTATCTAGGCACCGTGGTAGATGGAACCACAGTGAAACCTCAAACAATGCAAATTCGTAGGGATACCCTCCTTACACTTAACGATTTTCAGAAACTCCTAGGAGACATTAACTGGATTCACCCTCTCCTAGGAATTCCAACTTATAAATTACAAAATCTATTTAACACTTTACAAGGTGATTCTGCTTTAGATAGTCCTCACACTCTATCCTCAGAGACAGAGGCCGAATTGCAGTTTGTTGAGGGGTCATTAAAAACTGCCTTTGCTTACAGGTATGATGATTCTCTCCCCCTGCCGCTGCTTATTTTCCCTACCCCTCATTCTCCGACTGGTGTCTTAGTGCAAGAAGACAAACCTTCGAATGGGTGACTTTATATACAAAAAATTCTTGAACTGTTACTCCATGTCTATCTCTTGTCGCTTCACTCATTCTCCAAGGACAAAAGCGTTCTATTCAAATTCTAGGTTTTGACCCAGCGCTCATTGTTTTACCTATCTCTTCCACATCTTTTAAGGAAGTCCTTCCCTTCTCTACTGATCTGCAGATATCTCTTGCTGATTATACCGGGCGCATAGGTTGCCACTATCCGTCAGGTAAATTATGGGACTTCCTAAAGCGCACTGCCTGGGTTATAAATCCTGTGGGTTGTAACGCCCCAATCCCCTCAGCTCCTACATACTTTATTGATGGCTCTTCCTCCCGGCGCGCTGGAGTCTGGGGCCCTGTTATTCAGCACTCCATAAAAACCCCTTACACTTCTGCTCAACAGGGCGAACTTGCAGCTTTATTGTTCTTATTGCAGAATGTTCATTATCCTATAAATATCATATCTGATTCCGCTTACGTAGCTGGCATTGTTGCGCCTTTGGAAACAGCTCTTATTTCCACAACTCATTCTATCATTAACCCTCTGCTTCAAGAACTACAATCAGAAATTCAATCTCGAACTCACCCTTTGTTCATTACTCATATCCGCTCTCATTCTAACCTCCCTGGACCTCTTACACAGGGAAATCAGTCTGCTGATTTATTGGCTACTCCTATTTTTGAAACTCAACAAGCAGAACATGCCCATCTTCATACCAACGCCAACCGCCTTCATTCACACTATAAAATACCCTTGCGCTCTGCCAGGCAAATAGTCTCTTCCTGTCCTATTTGTCGACCTCTACATTTAACTGAGCATCCAGTGGTCATCAATCCCAGAGGCACAGCTCCTGATTGTATTTGGCAAACAGACATTACTCATTTTCCCCCTTTCGGATGCCTCTCATATATTCATGTCACAATAGACACCTTTTCATAATTTCGTCATGCTACTCCTTTGACGGGGGAAAAGGCTGGGCATGTCATTTCTCATTTGCTTGAATGTTTTGCTATTATGGGGTTACCCACTTGTATCAAGACAGACAATGGCCCAGCGTATACTAGCAAAAAAGTACAAGACTTCCTTGCAAAATGGCAAACACAACACATCACAGGTATTCCTTGTAATCCTCAAGGACAAGCTGTGGTAGAAATGGTGCATGCCACCATTAAAAAACAACTCTGTAAAATTATATCTAAAAAGAAAGGGGGAATCTCTCCTCGAGATATCATGACACAAATCTTATTCATTTAAAAATTTATTTATTTATTTGACAGAGAGACACAGAGAGAGGGAACATAAGCAGGGGGAGTGGGAGAAGGAGAAGCAGGCTTCCTGTGGAGCAGGGAGCCTGATGCGGGGCTCGATCCCAGGGACCCTGGGATCATGACCTGAGTCGAAGGCAGACGCTTAACGACTGAGCCACCCAGGCGCCCCCATTTTAAATTTTTTAAATTTACCCCAATGAGAACCATATACCATAGCTGACAAACATTTCTCGTCAGCCTCAATCTCAACTCAGGACGAACCCGTGTGGATAAAAAATGAGGAAAATAATTGGTTGCCTGGGAAATTAGTTACCCGAGGCCCTGGTTATGCTTGTGTCATTCCAGATGGATCCAGTCGAGCAATTTGGATACCTCTTCGGAAAGTCCGGCCCAGGACCAGTGATGAAGACAACAGAAGAGGTCTCTCAGCCGCTGCAGGGATGGACTACCCAGCCCCCTGTCCAAGAGATGGCAGCACCCTCCTTGAAGAGACCTCGAAAACGAAAACTGCCCCCGACAACACCCCCAACTTGGGGGCAACTGAAGACCCTCACTCAGAGGGCGGAGCGAGTCCTGCAGACAACCAGATCTACCAAAAGCCCTGAACATTTGTTCCTGGCTATGTTACTGGTGGTGACATGCGCCTCTGCGATGGGTGAAAAACACGCCTACTGGGTGTATGTACCCCATCCTCCCTTGTTGCGTCTAGTCGAATGGGCAGAATATGGACCTACTGTTTTTACAAATGACTCTACTCATCTCCCAGCACCTTGGTCCTCTGTACCCTCAAAAAACGAGTGAATGCCCAAAACTTCCATCACAGAGTGCTTAGGGCAGCGGCTGTTTTGAAAAAAGAAAGGGGGAGCTGTGGGAAACAGAACACCCCCGCGACCACTGGCGCATGTTCGCTCAGACTCCGAGATCTCTGAGAAAACTCGAGATTGCAGGGTTAAAAATAACCCAAAAGGATCAGAGTGAAATGCCCTTGGGACGTGTGTGGTCTGTTCTCAAGTACGCAGCAGAAGATGTTTTGTAGATAGGAAGCCAGCTGTAAACAGCAGGCTGTGCATTCCCTTCTTTGTTCTTTTATCCTGTGTTAAGGTCCGAGTACAATGGTGTTTACAATTAATTGATCACAGCCAGTTACAGATTTCTTTATTCCTTCTCCACTCCCATTGCTTCACTTGACTAACCCTGTGTATGTGGAAGAATGTGCCTTACTAAGCCCCTGCTGTAAATCATTATAGATCTATATCATTGTAGAAGGTATATTAGATTATGGAAAATAAACCTTGGCACCTCAGTCTGTTTGCTCGGGGTCCCCTGTGCCTCACTCTGCTGTCATCTCTTTTTCTCAGTTCCTTCACTGCCCCAGGTCCCCGATTCTCTGAGGTCGACAAGGTGTCCCTGGTTTTGCTAGCATATTAATCTATTTTGTTTTGTGGTTTAAGATTCACAATACATCCATGCAATAAGGCTTCAGTTGTAAGTTCTGGAGGTCTAATGTACAGCATGGTGACAGTTAATAATTCTGTACCATATACCTGAAATTTGCTAGGATAGTAGATCTTAAGTGTTCTCACCACACACATGTATACACAAAAAGTAACTATATGAGGTGATGGATGTGTTAATTAGCTTGATTATGGTGATCATGTTACAATGTTTACATACATCAAAATCACAATAAAATAACTCTGGTCAAAGTAAGGGCCAAGGAGCTTCAAAATATTTTCAACATGACCCTCCAAGGTCAAATTTAATTTTGTCTATTCATGATTGTTGGAGGTTGGTCATGGTCTGCAGTAGAAGCACAGAATTAGTTCCCACAGTCAAACTGTGTCTGGCCAGGTGATGAAGGAATCAGAAACAGTGTCACCATGCAAGAGAAAATGACTCTAGTTAACTTAAAAGAGCGTATCAGAAGGATATGGGGTAGCTGACAAAATCAAAGAACTAAAACCACATTCTGAATCCAGGGTCTCTGTGCCTGTCTAGGATCTGTGATTCAGGAAGAAGGCACCCCCACCCCCAATCGCTCATCTTGAGATTCAAAGACTCAGGAAAGAACATCTAAAGAAACAGCTCAAATGTTGTCTCTGTGAGTGCTTTACGCCTGGATTAAAACTCACTGATACTATGTACAGTAAGAGGGCTAGCTCACCAGAATGGGGCTTAAAAACAGAAACAAACGTCAGAGTCTACACATTCCTTTTGACTAGCAAGCTACCTTGTTGAGTATACATACAATCTGTTTCTTCTACATAATTATCATTTCAAGCCATCAGTTGTCTACATTGCATCTGAGAATTTAAACAAGTTTGTGCAAGACAAAGAAGAGTTGTAGGGTTCTCTGTTGCCACGGTAACAAGTAGACAACACAGCTCAATGGCAGCTTGCTTTGATGACCAACAGAGGACACAGACTCCTTTCATTCCAAGGCAGACTCACTCCAGAAAACACACTTCTTTTTTTTTTTAAAAAGATTTTATTTATTTATTCATGACAGAGAGAGAGAGAGGCAGAGGGAGAAGCAGGCTCCCAAGGAGCAGGGAGCCCGATGCGGGACTCGATCCCGGGACCCTGGGATCATGACCCGAGCCGAAGGCAGACGCTCAACCATCTGAGCCACCCAGGCACCCCAGAGAACACACTTCTAAGGCAGACCGACTGCCAGACCTCTGTAACCAATACGGCCCCAACACAAACTTTTTCAAGACACCACAGGAGAGCTGCAGCTTGATTTTCCTAACACAACAATGGCTGGCTGCCATAACTCTCCCTCACTTAGAAGAAGTCTAGCTTCAGACTGGGTTTGGGTCTCATCCTTTGACTCATTTTCTTGGCATTAGCAACAGAAGGGACCAACGGGAGAATTATCAGGCAATCAAACATCAATGGATGAAAACTAAATGTTAGCTGTAGTTGCCTACAACAAATTCCTATGGTTCGTGCTCACCCACAAGCCTACCATTCCTGGAGGAAACACCGTGAGCAGCAGGAGGATCATACCTGAGTGTCCAGAGGAAGGAACGCTGAAGTTTCAAGGTGTCACACAGCATCTTTATTCCACTATACCCCAAGGAATTCTGGCCCAGGTCCAGAGTGACCAGGCTCTGATTGCTGCCTAGGGCAGATGAGAGGATTTCAGAGGTGAAAGGGGTGATGGCACATCTCCACAACCTACAGGGGAGACACAAAATTAGTTAGTTCATTCAACCAACATGTACTGATATGGTCCTATACCCCAGGCACACTCTTGGGTGTTGGGGACCCAACAGGGAACAACAAAAGTCTCTTCCCTCTGAGCTCATGTACTTATAGGAAACAGATGTATGTAGTGTGTCATATCCAATAAGGTTATGAAGGGCAAAGGGAGAAGCTGGGGGGTGCTCACTACAATGGTTGAGAAAGACCTGAGGGGTGAACCATATGAACCATAGAGAGATCCGGAGTAGGAGCTCCCAGGCAGAGACATAGCTTATGCAAAGGCCCTGAGGTTGTGTAGAATTATCATGTAAAACAATACCGAGGTAGCCAGCTTGAGCGTGAACCAGGGAGGGTTGAAAGAGATGAGGTCACAGATAAGATGGAGCCATCTCACAGAAGGCTCTTAAGACATTGTAAACTTTGGATTTTACTTGGAATGAGATGAGGAACTGTCGAGGGTTTTGAGCAGAAACATGACAAGAGCTATAATTTAGAAGTTATTTTTTTTTTTTAAGATTTTATTTATTTGACAGAGAGAGACACAGTGAGAGAGGGAACACAAGCAGGGGGAGTGGGAGAGGGAGAAGCAGGCTTCCTGCAGAGCAGGGAGCCTGATGTGGGGCTCGATCCCAGGACCCTGGGATCATGATCTGAGCCAAAGGCAGATGCTTAATGACTGAGCCACCCAGGCGCCCCTAGAAGTTATTCTTAGTACTTGGCTGAAAAACTGTAGGGAACAGAGAAGGCAGAATACAGACTAGGCTGAAGGCTATACAACCACCCAGATGTTACCAGGAGGTATTGGGGGTATGAGAACAGATTCTAGATATCTGGAAGACAGTAGCAGTAGGCTTGGATTTGATATTTGAAAGAAAAAAGGAATAAAGGATTTTGTTTTGAGCAAATAATATTGTACAAATGTTCAAGGGAGGATGTGAGGGCGATCTGGCTGCGACATCTGTCACCCCATTGATCGCCAGGGTTGATTCGGCTGATCTGGCTGGCTAGGCGGGTGTCCCCTTCCTCCCTCACCACTCCATGTGCGTCCCTCCCGAAGCTGCGCGCTCGATCGAAGAGGACGACCTTCCCCGATAGAGGAGGACCGTTCTTCGGTCAAGGGTATACGAGTAGCTGCGCTCCCCTGCTAGAACCTCCAAACAAGCTCTCTCAAATGTTCAAGGGGTTTGCATATATATGTGTACACACGCACAGACACACACACACACAAGAGATTAGGTCATACGTTTAAGTATTTCCCAGGCTAAACCTAACATCAAACATTTAGCATACTTCCTGGCACACTGAATAACATGCAAACATATTTCATGATCATAGCCAACTCTTCTGATGAATACAACCAACTCCATTTCTTAGAACACGTAACTGAGATTATACCATCAGGAAGTCAAGGCTTACTAGATACATCCCTACACCAGTAGTGAATGTGGTTAAGAGAGCCGCCCCCCCCCCCCGTCATTATTAACATCACCAGCCTCTGCAAACAGGCACCTGCCATGAATTGTAACAACCAGAGGTTTCCCCACCTGCAAGCTTGAGGATTTGTTCAGTTGGCATCCTCACCAGTGCTGGGAGCTTTACAAATACTGTTGTCTGGGTTTTGTGGAGACCCCAGTTTGAGTGGTCTGAGGTACAACCTGGGTGTTGGGATTCCCAAAGCTGCAAGAATTTCTACTACACAGTAGAGGTTGGACACCATGACTCTGCCTTATCTTCTTGTGCTGTAGAGGCCAGAAAACTAGCTACCATCTGAGTGTCCTTCACTAGTAAGTTTCCAGATTCAAGTATGTTTGAGTGATGGAATCTAACTCATACAGGATTGTGAGACAGAACTGAGTTGAAGACATTTATTTGCTCATGGAGGTGACATTTTCTGCAGTATCGAATTCCTAGCTTTCTGGAGGCTGGGAGCTGGGCCACCACTCCTTCTTGATGACTTAAGTGTTGCATCTTAACATGATCCACAGGTGGCCTTTGGATGACCTAGACTAGAAGCTATTCCTTTAGCCATTCTAGTGAATTTTCTCCCCCAGCTTTATTGATGTATAGTTGACACATAAAAATTTTATGTATTTAAGTTGTACAGTGTGATGATTTAATATATGTACGTACTGTGAAATGATCACCACAATCAAGTTAATTAACACATTTGTCAGCTCACTGAGTTACCATTTTTTGTGTGAGAACAATTTATTTGCTGAGAGAACTGTTTTACTGTTGAGAAGTAGAAGTTTCTGGAGATTTTCTTTAATCTTTATGGAGATAATAATTGACATAAAACATTGTGTAAGTTTAAGGTGTGAAATGTGTTGATCTGGCACATTTATATATTTGCAAGAGGATTCCCACTGTAGTGTTAGTGGACACCTCCATCCCAACACATCATTTCTTCTTTTGGTGAGAAAATTCAAGATCTATTTTTTAAACAGGCTCTTAACTACAAGGGAACAAACCAATGGTCACCAGGGTGGAGGTGTGGGGAGGATGAAGGAGTGCACTTGTCCTGATGAGCACTGGGTGCTGTATGGAAGTGTTGAATCATTATATTGTGCACCTGAAACTAGTAATACTGTGTTAATTGCACTGGAATGAAAAAAATCTATTCTTTTAGCAACTTTCAAGTATATAACAGTATTATTAGCTATAATCGTCATGCTATATGTTAGATCTCCAGAACTTATTCATCTCTATTTTTTTAAATTTTATTTATTTGACAGAGAGAGAGAGACAGCAAGAGAGGGAACACAAGCAGGGGGAGTGGGAGAGGGAGAAGCAGGCTTCCTGCTGAGCAGGGAGCCCGATGCAGGGCTTGATCCCAGGACCCTGGGATCATGATCTGAGCTGAAGGCAGATGCTTAATGACTGAGCCACCTAGGTGACCCTGGAAGTCTGCAACCTTTGATCAACAGCCCCCCATTTCCTCCCACCCCTTGGCCCCTGGCAATCACCACTCTACTTTGTCTCTATGAGCTCAGCTCCTTTAGATTCCACATATAAGTGGTATCATACAGTATTTGTCTTTGTCTTATTTTACTTAGCATAATACCCTCAAGTATCATCCATGTTATCTCAAATGGCAGGATTTCCTTCCTTCTCATGGCTAATATTCCATTGTGTGTGTATATATTTCACATCTTCTTTATCCAATCATCTGTTGGTGGACACTTAGATTGTTTCCTATCTTGACCATTGTGAAAAATGCTGCAATAAACATGAGAATGCAGATATCTTTTCAAGATCCTGTTTCATTTCCTTTGGATATATATCCAGAAGTGGGATTGCTGGATCATAAGATAATTCTTTTTTTTTTTTTTTAAGATTTTATTTAGTTATTTGAGACAGAGAGAATGAGAAAGAATACATGAGAGGGGATAGGGTCAGAGGGCAAAGCAGACTCCCTGCCGAGCAGGGAGCCCGATGCGGGACTCGATCCAGAGACTCCAGGATCATGACCTGAGCCGAAGGCAGTCGCTTAACCAACTGAGCCACCCAGGTGCCCTCATAAGATAATTCTATCTTTAGCTTTTTGAGGAACCCCCATATGGCTTCCAGAGTGGCTGCACCAGCTTGCATTCCCACCAACAGTACGCAAGGATTCCTTCCCTATTCTCCATGTCCTCACCAACACTTGTTATCTCTGTTCTTTTAATAACAACCATCCTGAAAGGTATGAAGTGATAGCTCATGTGGTTTTGATTTTCATTTCCCCAATGATTAGTGATGCTAACACTTTTTCATGTCCCTGTTGGCCATTTGTCTGTCTGATTTGGAAAAAAAAAATCTATTCATGTTCTTTGCTCATCATTTTTATTTATTTTTTGCTATTGAGTTGTATAAGTTCTTTATCTATTTTGGATATTAACCCCTTATCAGATATATGGTTTCCAAATATTTTTCTGTAGGTTGCCTTTTCATTTTGTTGACTGTTTCCTTTAGTAGACAGAAGCTTTTTAATTTGATGAAGTCCCACTTATTTATTTTTGCTTTTGTTGCCAGTGTTTTGGACATGATATACAAAAGATCATTGCCAAGACAAATGCCGAAGAGCTCATGTCCTATGTTTTCTTCGAGGAATTTTACAGTTTCATGTCTTAAGTCTTTAATCCATTTTGAGGTAATTTTTGTGTATGGTGTAAGGGTTCAATTTCATTCTTTTGCATGTGGATATCCAGTTTTTTTCAACCCTATTTATTGAAGAGATCATCCCTTCTCCACTGAATATTCTTGGTGCCCTTGTCAAAGATTAGTTGACTGTGTATGTGGGGGGTTTATTTCTGGGCTCTCTATTCTGTTCTTTTGGTTTACGTATCTGTTTTTATGCCAGCACCATGCTATTTTGATACTATGATTTCATAATATAGTTTGAAATCAGGAAGTGTGATGCCTCCAGCTTTGTTCTTTGTCAGAACTAATTTGGCTATTTGGAGTCTTTTGTGGTTGCCCACAAATTTGGGGATTTAAAAAAAAATGTGAAAACTGCTATCCTACTGGATTTTTAAAGTAATCAGATTTGTTCCAATCTTTTGTATTTGAGCTGGGGGATTTGCTCCACCAATATTTTATTTCAGATAGAGATTAAAGTAAAAAAACCTAACTTACCATAGACATTTGAGGTTACATGTTGGCTTCTTCAAAGCCTCACACAGAAACGTCAGTCCAGTAATTCCTATGTGATTCAGCCCCAGATCCAAGTGTGTAAGGCTTGAGTTTTGCTGGAGAAGTGTTGGCAGATCATTGCAGCCACTGTTGGTTATGCTACAATACCAAAGCCTAGAAATCAATCACATGAAGAAAATAAACTCAGAGTCCTTCCTGAGGAGATGTACCAAAACCAAGCTCGTTGACCTCAAGTCACAGGTTTTACACAAGCTCGCAGACAATGAGACATGGAAATGAAATCATGAGTGGAGTTATAATTACTATATAAGTGATTATATAGGCCCCACCCCCCCCCTCCACTCCACACATGCAAAGATGTCTACATCCTAATCCCTGGTCTCTGTGAATACTTGACGTTATGTGTAAAGGGGACACTGCAGGTGTGGTTAAGGATCTGGAGGTGGGGAGATGATCCAGGTGAGCCAATGTAATCACAAGGATCCTTCCAAGAAGGAGCATGAGAGTCAAAGCCAGCAGGGGGGAGAGGTGATGAGACAGACAGAAGGACACTGAAGACACTACACTGCTGGCTTTGGACATGGAGGAAGGGGCCATGAGCCAAGGGATGCAGGCACCTCTAGAAGCTGGAAAAGGCCAGGAAATGGATTCTTCCCTGGAGATCTCAGAAGGAACACAGCCCTGTGGACACCTTGATTTTAGCCCAGGGAAACCCATTTTGGACTTCTGGCCTCCAGAACTTTAAGACAATGAATTTGTGTTGTTTTAAGCCTCTGAGTTTGTGACAAATTGTCATAGAAACAGGCAACTAATACAAGTGGTATTTATTATTTCTACCCTAACTATGGGACAGAGAATATCCATCTTGCCTTCACCTGCAACTTCTATTAGGGAAGGGGCCAATTATACTTCCTAAATCCAGTTACCAGACAGGTAGTATCCAGAGGTGGAGGGCACCAGTTCTCATCTGGACAAGTCTGGCACTAGATCCTAGATATCCATTAATCAGCTACACCGGATATCAGTGGTACTTCTTCTTAACCATTGAAAAAAAATTTTTTTTTGCCTTTCCCTGGTTTACTATTAGTGTTCTGAACTTGATATTAGCAGAAAATCAGAGATGATTGAACTTATCATTGGCTACTTTCTTTCTTTTTTTTTTTCAAGATTTTATTTATTTATTTGAGAGAGAGAATGAGAAAGAGAGAGCACATGAGAGGGGGGAGTGTCAGAGGGAGAAGCAGACTCCCTGCTGAGCAGGGAGCCCGATGCGGGACTCAATCCCAGGACTCCAGGATCATGACCTGAGCCGAAGGCAGTCGCTTAACCTACTGAGCCACCCAGGCGCCCTCATTGGCTACTTTCATAGGCAGAATAATGTCCCTCAGAGATGTCTGTACTCTAATCCCCAGACCTTACATGGCAGTTGAGATTGAGACTAGTGATCCTGACATGGTGAGTTACCCTGGACTATACAGAGGGGCTGAATCTAATCATAGGAGTCCTTTCTTACTGAAGTGGAGAGAGATGCAATGTGTGGGCTTGGGGACCCACCACAGCTGGCTTTGAACCAAGGAGCACAGTGGCTGTTAGGGGACAAGGCCAGCTCTCAGCTTGCAGGGACCCCATCCCACAGCCACAAAGAAGCAAATTCCGCCAACAGCCTGAATGAGCAAGGGACTGAATCCCTTCCTTGAACCTCCAGAAAGAAACACGGCGCTGTGCATACTGGTCTTCTGGCCTATGGAAGTATACAAACCATGTTAAGCTGATAAGCTCATGGTAATTTGTTATAGCAGTAATAGAATACTAACATGGCTGCCTTTTAGTTTCAGTGAACTTTATAAGTGATTGTATCAGCCTTGGCTCCCACAAGGGCCCCCTGTCACGTTGCCAGACCCCAGGGAATAGCAGTCATGTGATATATCCAGGGATGTGGGGCCAGAGGCAGCCTTTCAGAGGAACCAACACACACCCCCTTGGCTTGGAAATTTGTAAATTTATAGAAACTTCCAGGACTATGGGGTAACAGAGGAAGGCCCAAGCAAGTTCTGACAACTTAGTAAAGTAGGGACATGGCTCACAAACAGAATTGAGGTCCAGAAAGAAGAGGTCTTGACCTGTAGTTCCTTAGAGTCCTACCTCCAAAGGGGTGCAAACACGATGACATTTAATGTCTGAGTCTTAGCTTTCTCACTGCAAACTGGAGAGAAGGTATTTATTTTATAAGGCTGGCTGAGTAAATGAAAAAAAATCCCTGGCAAGGCCTTAGGAAAATGCCTGGCACATATTAATTAATTCAGGTGCTTGATAAATGTTGGCCATCACTATTTTTTTCTGTTTAGATGTTCTGGGTGGCAGTAACATGTAACATAACTTGAAGACAAGAGCTAGTGGGTTGGTAGCATCTTAATTCCTATGGAACTTTATATTATTTTAGTGTTTGGGGGCTGAGATAGTGGGGTAAAATCCTTTCCTTCCACCTCTCTCCAGCCACGAACTGAATGCTTCATGGAATTTCAAGTGAGTGAGTAGTTGTTGGATACTGGGTGCCTTAAGGCATATCCTAGATTAAAACTGGTTTATAGGAAATGCTGACAGTTACTGTCAGGGGCGATTTTGTAGATGGCAAGAACACTGGAGATGTTAACACTGAATAGAATCTCTGAGTAGACACAGTCGATGCAGCTCCATTCTTTTCTCAAAATTTGTCCTATGATTTTACTGTTAACAAGAGGATTTTACAGAAAGTGTCATGTCATCTGTGAAAAGAGAGAGTTTGACTTCTTCTTTGCCAATTTGAATACCTTTTCTTTCTTTCTTTTTGTTGTCTGATTGCTGTTGCTAGGACTTCTACTACTATGTTGAGCAATAGTGGTGAGAGTGGATATCCTTGTAGTGTTCCTGATCTTAAGGGAAATGCTCTCAGCTTTTCCCCATTGAGGATGATAAAAGACTTCACCCGCAAATTACTAGAGCTCATACAGCAATTCAGTAATGTGGCAGGATACAAAATCAATGAACAGAAATCAGTTGCTTTCTTATACACTAACAATGCAACTGTAGAAAGAGAAATTAGAGAAATAGCACCAAAAACCATAAGATAACTCAGAAAAAACCTAACCTTAACCAAAGAGGTAAAGGATCTGTACTCTAGGAACTACAGAAGACTCATGAAAGAAATTGAAGAAGACACAAAGAGATGCAAAAACATTCCATGCTCATGGATTGGAAGAATGAATATTGTTAAAATGTCTATGCTACCCAGAGCAATCTATACCTTCAATGCCATCCTGATCAAAATTCCAATGACATTTCTCAAAGTGCTGGAACAAGCAATCCCAAAATTTGTATGGAATCAGAAAAGATCCAAAATCACCAAGGAAATGTTGAAAAAGAAAAACAAAGCTGGGGGCATCACATTGCCCGATTTCAAGCTATATTACAAAGCCGTGAACACCAAGACAGCATGGTACTGGCACAAAAACAGACATACAGACCAATGGAACAGAATAGAGAGCCCAGATATGGACCCTCAACTCCATGGACAAATAATCTTCGACAAAGCAGAAAAAAATATGTAATGGAAAAAAGACAGTGTCTTCAATAAATGGTGCTGGGAAAATTGGACAGCCACATGCAGAAGAATGAAACTCGACCACTCTCTAACACCATACACAAAGATAAACTCAAAATGGATGAAAGACTTCAATGTGAGACAGGAATCCATCAAAATCCTAGAGGAGAACATAGGCGGTAACCTCTTTGACATTGGCTGCAGCAACTTCTTTCAAGATTCATCTCCAAAGGCTAGTGAAACAAAAGTGAAAATGAACTTTTGGGACTTCATCAAGATAAAAAGCTTCTGCACATCAAAGGAAACAGTCCACAAAACAAAGAGGCAACCCACAGAATGGGAGACGATATTTGCAGATGGCACTACAGATAAAGGGCTGGTATCCAAGATCTATAAAGAACTTCTTAAACTCAACACCCAAAAAAACACAAATAATCAAGTCAAAAAAATGGGCAGAAGACATGAATAGACACTTACCCAAAGAAGACATACAAATGGCTAACAGACACATGAAATTCATTAGCCATCAGGGAAATCCAAATCAAAACCACATTGAGATACCACTTTACACCAGTTAGAATGGCAAAAATTGACAAGGCAAGAAACAACAAATGTTGGAGAGGTTGTGGAGAAAGAGGAACCCTCTTACACTGTTGGTGGGAATGCAAGTTGGTACAGCCACTTTGAAAAACAGTGTGGAGGTTCCTCAAAAATTTAAAAATAGAGCTACCTTATGAGCCAGGAATTGCACTCCTGGGTATTTACCCCAAAGACACAGATGTAGTGAAAAGAAGGGCCATATGCACCCCAATGTTCATAGCAGCAATGTCCGCAATAGCCAAACTGTGGAAAGAACTGAGATACCCTTCAACAGATGAATGGATAAAGAAGATGTGGTCCATATATACAACAGAATATTACTCAGCCATCAGAAAGGATGAATATCCAACTTTTACATCAACATGGATGGGACTGGAGGAGATTATGTTAAGTGAAATTAGTCAAGCAGAGAAAGTCAATTGTGGTATGATTTCACTTATTTATGGAACATAAGGAATAGCATGGAGGACATTAGGAGAATGAAGGGAAAAATGAAAGGGGGGAATCGGAGGGAGAGATGAACCATGAGAGACTATGGACTCTGAGAAATGAACTGAGGGTTTTAGAGGGGAGAGGGGTGGGGGGATGGGTTAGCCCGGTGGTGGGTATTAAGGAGGGCACATACTGCATGGAGCACTGGGTGTTATACGAAAACAGTGAATCATGGAACACTACATTGAAAACTAATGATGTATTGTATGGTGACTAATATAACATAATAAAATAAAAAAAAGAGGATTTTAATGAGCTTGTTGGCAAATAACTCCATGTACACTCAGTTGCAGGTAGAGCTTATGTTACATGGTACTAAGAATATGCATAAGGAATGCCTGGGTGGCTCAGTCAGTTAAGTGTCTGCCTTTGGCTCAGGTCATGATCCCAGGGTCCTGGGATCCTCCTTCTCCCTATGCCTGCTGCTCCCCCTGCTTGTGCACACTCTCTCTGACAAATAAATAAAATCTTTAAAGAGGCATGCATTAAAAAACCCCAAACCTGGAAACCAGCTACATCCCCAAATCCCTATGAAATATTGACACTATGTTTTGTATTTTTTTTCTAACACCCTCCTGTCAGGTCTCACCAGATCTAACTGCCAGCATTATAATTGGGGTATTCAAAGGAACTATTAAATGCTTGGACCTGTCCTCTTTGAATCCAGTATGCACACATGCACACGCACAGCAGCACAGACTTACACCAGCATCTATAGTTGACGGTCAGGGTAACTCAAGCCTTCACACAAAAGCTTTACCCCACCATCTCCTAGGGCATTCTTTGCCAAGCACAGGTGCATCAGCCTCTGGTTGATGATCAAAGCAGAGGAGAGCTCCTTGCAACAGGCTTCTGTAAGGTGACAGTTTTCCAACCTGCCAAAGGGTCACACAAGTGGTAAGAGGGTGAGAACATTTCCAAAGCCCAATTTTCTTGGCTGTCACCAAAGGCTAGAGTTCCCAGCTACAGCTCTTCTTGTTAGCCCCCTTCTTCTCTCACCGTGTGTTTAATGCTCAATCATGAAGGACCAAGAGTGAGAGAAGGGTAAGATGCATGAGCCTCCTGCCTGGGACCAGAAATGGGAACCAGGTGTCCACATCAGTAGGAGGTCCCATATGGGTTTCCCTGTATGTCCCGTACTACCATTGCTCTTCCCTATGTGGCCCCAGACCTAAAACAGAGATGCTCCATGGGAAGAGAGGCAGTACTTATGATAGCCTCTGCAGGAAGCATTTTGGGTGTTTCAGAGTCGTGCACAACGACTTGGCGCTCTCCTCCGGGAGCTCATTTGCTGTGAGGTTCAGGCAAGTGAGGGACTGGTTGATCTTGAGGGAGGAGGAGAGATGGGCCCATTGCTGGGTGGTGGCAGAACAAGTCACCAACCTGCCAGAGAAATGGGAACAAGTCATTCTTAAGAACCAACCACTGGATAACTATCTCCAGTTTTACCCCTCATTCCACATTATGTCACGTCCTGGACTAAATGATGTGGAGCAGCAGCTAAGTGTGGTCCCTGGACCAGCTGCATCAGCATCACCTGGTAAGCAGTTAAAAATGCAAATCCTCAGAAACTCTGGATGCAGAATCCACCAATTTCTGTTTTAGGGTGTCCTGTATCACCTGGAAGATTCCTGGGCCACATCCTCACGATTCAGAGGATCTGAGTGAGACCCAAGAATTTGGGTTTTAACAAGTTCCCAGGTGATGCAGCTGCTGCTAGTCCAGAGACCACATGTTGAGAACTACTTATTTAGAAATCAGTCAATCAAGCATATCAGGCAACAAGGTGCCCATACTCTATCCCTGGAGAGAATATTCTTACTATGGAGAATGGAATTTCATTGGGACCTTATGTGCATCATGGTCTTTGGAGTGGGGTTTCTAAAAAAAAAAAAAAAAAAAAAAATCCTGGTTCTGCTATTTACTGTATACGAAAATGTGGCCAAGTTACTTAACTTCATCAAACCTCATTTCCATCTTTAAATTGGAAAGAAGTCATACCCTCATGTTGAGTGTTTATTAAAGTTGATAATTCACATGAAGTGCTAAGTGGACTATGTACCATATAACTAAACTTAAGTAAAATTCAACAAAAACACTTTCTTCTCTTAGAGTCTAACCTATAATAGAGGAACCAAAGTTAACTTGGGCATTGGAACACAAAGTAGAATATTTAATGGCTTCCCATAAAATAAAACAATTTTTTTTTTAAAGATTTTATTTATTTGACAGAGAGAGAGATAGCAAGAGCAGGAGCACAAGCAGGGGAGTGGGAGAGGGAGAAGCAGGCTTCCCGCTGAGCAGGGAGCCCAATGTGGGACTCGATCCCAGGACCCTGGGATCATGACCTGAGCTGAAGGCAGAGGCTTAACGACTGAGCCACCCAGGCGTCCCTTTTTTTTTTTTTTTTAAATAAAACAAATTTATATGGAGTCTCCTCCTTCCATTTTGGGTATCCATTTACTCCTTGAGAAACAATTTAATACCCCCAATCTTCAAATTTCACACTTTTCCTGGTGAATCCTCACAGGAAAAAGAAAGGAAGGTCATCGGTAACAGTCAATTATGGCAGCGGTTACTATCAATAATGCAACAATGAATACATGTGTGCTTGGACTTGGTCTCATTCAGTCCTCAAATCCTTGGGAGATGTGCATTACTCCATCCTACTGATGGGGATAAGACCTAGTTAAATAGCCCAAGATCATAGCAGTAGAGGCAGAACCACAATCTGAGACCAACAGATCACCTTAAACTATGTTCCTATTGCTACTCAAAAGTGGACAAGTGAGGATCAATGGAACCCCATGATGATTAATGAAAATCCTCACAGAGAAATCACGTGGAGAACATCCCAAGGTGAGATCTCTCAACCCAGAGGAATACCAAGAAAGGGAAAACCTGATGCTCTCAAAGCATCCTTGCCTGGACAGATGAATCTGGACAGCATCCGGTATTCTGAATCATGACATAGGAGAAACATAAATCATGAATAAATTCTCTCAGAGAGGATTGTATCCAGTTTCTGAGCATTTCTTTGGACTCTTATGGATAGTTGTTCTGGTTGTTCAATGATCAATACAAGTGGAAACTAAACTCCAGCCCATTTTCTGTTCTGGGCCATGTGCCCTGAGTAGGAGTTTCTAATCAGAATAAGGGATTCCCCCCCTCCAATTTATAGAGTTGCTATATAGACTTGTGGCAGCGCTGTGCACATGCTGGGAGTTTTCAGTGATGGTGGGATATACCTTAGGTATTGCAGATTACATTTTGGGTGTCTCAAGATCTCACACAATATGGGAAGCATATCATTCTGGTCATTTCCTTGAAGGGTCAGATGCGTGAGAGTCTTATGACCACCAAAAACAATGCAGAAGCTCTGATAAGCATCTGCTGGGAAAATATTTTTGAGGCTAGGGAAATGACAAGAGAGGTGAAATCTTGCATTTCTGTATACATGGGAACAAAGGGCCGAAACAGGTTTAAACATGGGAAATGGTTCATATTTTCCACCTCCATTGAGGTGTGGTCAAAAAACCATATATATTAAGGTATAAAACTTAATGTTTCAATATACTCCTACCTTGTGAAATCATCACCACAATCAAGCTAGTGAACATACCTATAATTCACATAATCACTATTTCCTTTTTTTTTTTTTTTTTGTGGTGAGAACACTTGAGATCAAGTCTCTTAGCAAATTTCAAGTATACAATGCAGTATTGTTAACTGTTGTCACATTGGTTCACAGTTACATCTCCAGAACTCATTTTGCATTAACTGAAACTTTGTATGGCTTGACTAACATCTAATTTTAGAAACGATTGGAAGCCCCAGTTTCTTTAGTCATCTCAGACTTTTGCAAAGGGGAAGTTGGTCATCAACAGTCGTTTCAGACAAAAGCTGTTCTGCGACTTTTTGAAAGAGATAAGGAAGGGTAGTAGCTTCTTCCCCTGAAGTGTTACCAATGGGCACATTTCAGGAGCACTATGTCCTGCTCAACATCTTCCATGTAGAATCAGGATCACATGGCCGGTGTAACCCTAAGTAGCAGAAGAGCTCCTTCTTTCTCTACATTGAGCAAGAAACCTGTGAAAGAGGACACCTGCATCTGGAGAGGGTCTTGCTGGTACCAAAGCCCACTTTGCTGACTAAATAATGTTTGCTCTCCTTCCCTAAACCTCCCCTGCAGTCTGCCCATGTGTAAGCTTCCAGGACTTTTCCAGCACACGAGCAGCACAGGTGAGCCCCACAGGAAGACCCTGAGATGCTGTCATAGGTGGATATGAGCACACTCTATTCTGATTACAAGTATTTAACTTGTGTAATTACCTTTTTCTGGTACTTCTGAGCCCCATCATTTCTTCCCAACTTCATTCAACTACATAGATTTTTGGATCATATTCAGACACACATACCCAGCCCAGGTCACAGGCCTATCTCAGCACATCGACACCATCTCTCCAACAGTGCTCCCAGTCAGGGGTGATTTTGTACCCCCTGGGGACACCTGGCAATGTCTGGAGACATTTTAGGTTGTCACAACTGGGCATGTGTGGGTGTCACTGGCATCTGGAAGGTAGAGGCCAGGGCTAGGGCTAAAAATCCTATGATGCACAGGACAGGCCCCCACAACAAAGAATTATCAAGCCCAACCCCAGTGTCTGCAGAGGTCGAGAAATCCTGTTTACGCACAGCCCTATGGTTGTCTTAATGGGATTAAAGCTGCCCCCAGGATCTGGATGTTCATCACGGTGTTTTGTGGACAGCCAAATCATATTTCACATTGTATTAAAATTACTTTATAAGAAAAAGTGGAATGGTGGTTGCCAAGGGCTGGGGAGAAGGGATCATGGGGAATTATTGTTTAATGGGGACAGAGTTTCAATTTTGCAATATGAAGAGTTCTGGAGATGGATGGTGGTGGTGGTTGCATAATTATACATTTAAAAATGCATAATTGTGAACTTAAGAATGGTTAAAATGTTAAGTTTTATGTTATACCACAATAAAAAATTGGAAAAAGTTACTTCATATGATTCAGTAGACAAATGTAAGGTATGAACCGTCTCAATTATGTCTTGAGTACCCAGTTGGACTTTGGGAAAGGAATTCAAATATTGGTCCAATATTAAAAATCTAAGGAATATCGTTATGCCCTAGGGTTTTAATCCTGGGATTAGCTTCTACTTACACCACTTTCTGAAGATTATGGGTAGCAGAGTCTATTTTTTCACAACGAAGCTTCACTGATGAAGTACTAAGGAAGCTCTGGCTGATGTCTAGAAATACCAGATTCTTGTTTGAGTTGAACACGGAAAAAAGATCCACCCAGAAAGGAAACACATATTGATCATTCTGGAACCTACTGGGATGAGGCAAAGGAGAGAATTTACCAAATACTGCTGGAGAGAAAACTAACATTCGTCCATCACTGTGAAGATATTTTGGGGGGGGGGGTTTCTCTGGGCATATACCTCTAATAAATAAGTGTAGCTCTGAAAGTCAGATGATTTAATCACTTAGCATCACTATCAGACAGCTCATCACAAGACATATCACTGGAGAAAGAACTCAAACTTTTTTTTTTTTTTTAAGATTTTTTATGTATTTGGGGGACTTGGGAAAAGATGGTGGAGGAGTAGGGGACCCTATTCCAACCTGTCCCCTGAATTGAGCTGGATATCCACCAGACCACTCTGAACACCCACAAAATCAGCCTGAGATGTAAGAAGATATATCTGGATCTCTACAAACAGAATATTGCAGATAGTTGATTTTGAGGTATGAAGCAGGGAGCTGTGATTCCGCAGGAAGATATTGGAAGATAAACAGAATGGGGGGGAGCCGTTGGGATCCTGCACCGCCGGTGTGTGAAAGCCTCCTGCACTGGGGACAGGGCACAGACTTGCAGACTGGTAGCGGTGGGGAAAGGACTTTAGGGCAGGCCCCCAGACTGAAACCTGGAGTGGCAGGGCTGCACGTGTGAACTGGGGGTGGCTGGTGGTTTTAGAAGCACAAAGGGCAGAGACGTGCCCTGACCTGGAGGCGAGCACTGGGAGTGCTGCTGAGCGGTGCACAACCCAGGATGCTGCAGTTTTTAGCAGCATAGACAGAAATGGAGATAGTGTGGCCTGGAGAGATCACTGAAGAACTGTGATCTCTCTGTTCTGAGGCAGAGGGTTGGAAACGGTCTCTTCTGCTCTGACTCTCGGAAGAGACGCGGAAAGCCACCGGGGAAAGCTGCCAGAGAACAAAAGCCCCCCAAAACTGGTTTTCACTTAGCCCATCCTGTGCCACAGGGGGCAGGGCAACTCTGCCCAAATAGGGTTGCCTGCGTAACAGCGTGGCAGGCCCCTCCCACAGAAGACAGGCTGGGAGAACAAGAGGCTGACAACCTAAGGTCCCTATAAAACAGGTGCATCTTGCTTGGGTTGTGGTCAATAATTTGGATTCTGTACATTCCCTCAACCACCCCTCAACAGAATGACTAAGAGGAGGAACCCCCAAGATAGGAAAGACTCAGAGACTATGACTTCTGCCACTGATTTACAAAAGGATACAGATATAACCAGGATGTCAGAAATGGAATTCAGGGTAGCAGTTGTGAAGACAATAGTTAGAATGGAGAAATTGATTAATGGCAACATAGAGTCTCTAAGGGCAGAAATGAAAGCTGAACTGGCAGAACTTAAAAATGCTATCAATGAGATCCAATCTAATCTTGATACTCTAACAGCTAGGGTAAACGAGGCAGAAGAATGAATTAGTGATCTAGAAGACCAATTGATAGAAAAGAATGAAAAAGAGGAGGCTTGGGAGAAACAGCTCAAAAATCCATGAAAACAGAATTAGAGAAATAAGTGACGCCATGAAAAGCTTCAATGTCAGAATTATTGGGATACATAATGGGGTGGAGAGAGAGAGAGAGGACTAGAAGATATATCTGAGCAAATTGTAGCTGAGAACTTCCCTAATCTGGGGAATGAAACAAACATTCAAGTCCTAGAGGCAGAGAGGATCCCCCCAAGATCAAGGAAAACAGACCAACGCCCTGGCATGTAATAGTAAAACTCTTAGAAATCTTAGAACCAAGGAAACCATCTTAAGGGCAGTTAGGGGGAAGAGATTCCTTACGTACAGAGGGAGGAACATCAGAATAACGTCAGACCTATCCACAGAGACCTGGCAAGCCAAAAAGGCCTGGCAAGACATATTCAGGGTACTAAATGAGAAGAACATGCAGCCACGAATACTTTATGCAGCAAGGCTGTCATTTAGAATGGATGGAGAGATGCAGAGCTTCCAAGACTGGCAGAAACTGAAAGAATATGTGACCACTAAGCTGGCCCTGCAAGAAATATTAAGGTGGGTTCTATAAAAGGAGAAAGACCCCAAGAGTGATATACAACAGAAATTTACAGAGACAATCTATAGAAACAAGGACTTCACAGGCAACATGATGACAATAAATTCCTATCTTTCAATAATCACTCTCAATGTGAACGGCCTAAATGTTCCCATAAAATGGCACAGGGTTGCAGATTGGATAAAAAGACAGGACCCATCCATATGCTGTCTTCAAGAGACTCATTTGGAACCTAAAGATACATCCAGACTGAAAGTGAAAGGATGGAGATCCATCTTCCATGCCAACGGACCTCAAAAGAAAGCTGGGATAGCAATTCTCATATCAGACAAATTAGATTTTAAGCTAAAGACTGTAGTTAGAGACAAAGAAGGACACTATATCATTCTTAAAGGGTCTATCCAACAAGAAGATCTAACAATTGTAAATATCTACGCCCCCAACATGGGAGCAGCCAACTACATAAGCCAACTATTAACCAAAATAAAGAGTCATATTGATAATAATACATTAACTCTAAGAGACCTCAGTACTCCACTCTCAGCAATAGACAGATCAGCTAAGCAGAAAATCAACAAAGAAACAAGAGCTTTGAATGACACACTGGACCAGATGGACCTCATAGATATATACAGAACATTCCACCCTAAAACAACAGAATACTCATTCTTCTCGAGCGCACATGGAACTTTCTCCAGAATAGACCACATACTGGGTCACAAATCAGGTCTCAACCGATACCAAAAGATTGAGATTATTCCCTGCATATTCTCAGACCATAATGCTTTAAAGCTGGAACTCAATCACAAGAAAAAATTTGGCAGAAATTCAAACACTTGGAAGCTAAAGACCTCTCTGCTCAAGAATGTTTGGGTCAACCAGGAAATCAAAGAAGAACTTAAACAATTCATGGAAACCAATGAGAATGAAAACACATTGGTCCAAAACCTATGGGATACTGCAAAGGCAGTCCTAAGGGGGAAATACATAGCCATCCAAGCCTCACTCAAAAAAATAGAAAAATCCCGAATTCACCAACTAACTCTATACCTTAAAGAGCTAGAGAAAAAGCAACAAATGATTCCTAAGCCATGCATTAGAAGATAAATAATTAAAATTAGAGCAGAGACCAATGAATTAGAAACCAGAAACACAGTAAATCAGATCAACGAAACTAGAAGTCGGTTCTTTGAAAGAATTAATAAGATCGATAAACCACTGGCCAGACTTATCCAAAAGAAAAGAGAAAGGACCCAAATTAATAAAATTATGAATGAAAAGGGAGAGATCACAACTAACACCAAGGACATAGAAACAATTATTAGAAATTATTATCAACAACTATATGCCAATAAACTGAGCAATCTGGATGAAATGGAGGACTTCCTGGAAACCTATACACTCCCAAGACTGAAACAGGAAGAAATTGACAACCTGAATAGGCCAATAACCAGGAACGAGATTGAAGCAGTGATCAAAAACCTCCCAAAAAACAAGAGTCCAGGGCCTGATGGATTCCCTGAAGAATTCTACCAAACATTCAAAGAAGAAATAATACCTACTCTACTGAAGCTGTTTCAAAAAATAAAAACAGAAGGAAAACTTCCAGACTCATCCTATGTTAAGTGAAATAAGTCAAGCAGAGAAAGTCAATTATCATATGGTTTCACTTATTTGTGAACATAAGGAATAGCATAGAGGACATTAGGAGACAGAAAGGAAAAATGAAGGGGGGGGAATCAGAGGGGGAGATGCACCATGAGAGATTATGGACTCTGAGAAACAAACTGAGGGTTTTAGAGGGGATGGGGGTGGGGGATGGGTTAGCCCGGTGATGGCTATTAAGGAGGGCACATACTGCATGGAGCACTGGGTGTTATATGAAAACAATGAATCATGGAACACTGCATCAAAAACTAATGCTATAATGTGTGGTCACTGACATAACAGAATAAAATAAAATCGAGGGTTTTAGAGGGGAGGGGACTGGGGGGATGGGTTAACCCGGTCCTGGGTATTAAGGAAGGCATGTACTGCATGGAGCACTGGGTGGTATAAGAAAACAATGAATCATGGATCACTACATCAAAAATTACTGATGTATTTTATGGTGACTAACATAACAATAAAATAAAATTAAAAAAATAAAGTTAAAGATTTTTTATATATTTGAGAAAGGGCGAGCGAGCGAGTATGAGTGGGGTGAGGGACAGAGGGAGAGGGACAGACTCCCCACTGAGCAGGGAGCCCAATGCGGGGCTTGATTCCAGGACCAGGAGACCATGACCTGAGCTGAAGGCAGACGCTTAACTGACTGAGCTTACTAGGCACCCCAGAACTCAAACTTCTTGCATGATAATCTAACAGAGTGTTAGAATAAACCAATATTCTAAGATCATTGATAAAAGATTGAAAGCAATATTCATCACTGATTAAAAAAAAACTGAGTGATATACATGTCAGAGGAGATTTGAATGTCTGATGGTGTGTCCATATAAATGATATTCTCAATCTAATTTACAATTATATTTGTAACCTAAAATGATGTCCATAAAAACTTGAGAAAATATAATCACAAACTTATCAGAGAATGTTTATTTTGTTCTGTGGTTGCTTCTGGGGGTAGGGTTTGTGTAGGTGATATGATTTCTTTATCTTTTTCAGTATTGCTTTAATTTTCTATTTATATATGGGTTCTTTGCAATCAGAAAAAAATTGACTTTCAGGAAAATGGTGCAAACACGTGAAACCATGATGTGTCAGAAAGTTATATTGTATGATGACTAACATAATAAAATTAGAAAAAAAAACATTTTAATTGTTGATGGGGAAATACTGTGGGACCTAAAGAGTAGTCTAATATCTGAAGGGTTTTGTGGATAAAATTGAAGGTACAAGTGTGTAAGGAATAAGAGTAACCAGTAAGATAAATATAATAACAGAGAGCCAAATGTAAATGAAAGAAGCAGCTGGAATTTGAGCTCTTATATGCTAGG